AACGGTTTCTGCTTAGTAGACCGTTCTGTGTTGCCTATGGCTGGGGCTGTAGTGGTGATTCTTATCATTTAAAATGACTCCACAATTACATTTCAGAACTGACCCGTGAGCCAGTATCACCTCCAGTTGGCCAGTGAATGTGTATTCCTGTCCAGGAAAACACAAGCCTCAGTTGTGGTATTTATCAGATGTATAATTCATCCAGTCCTGAGACATACAATGACATGTTTTTGATATATTATTGCTGTGTTCATGCAATAACTGGAGGTTAGGAAGAATCTAATTTGTTATATGTAACCTTCCTGCAAAGTGAAAGCAATATGGCAGGTTACGTCCGGAAAGACTGTTCCATTATAGGGCAGTCTGCTGTTATACCATTATATACAGTGTCCATGGTCTAGGCCAGCCATGCTTAACCAAGGTTCCTCCAGAGGTTCCTTTAGTAGTAAACAGCTGCAAATTTACTTCCTGCCTAGTGGTGACTGCATAGTTTCGAGACCAACATCACCTGGCAAACTCAGTGGTGTGGGACCATTGGAATCTCTCTCCTTTGCCCTCTGATAAGAAACCACTGACACCAATGGCCTTTTTAGCAGTTTGTAAGGGTGCATTTTTCCCCAATGACCATTTTCTGACTGACCCCAAATGTGAGGGGCATTCTTCTTCCCTTAGACCACCAATGTAAGGGGGCCCTGACTACCAATGCAACCAAGCACCACCATTACCATCAACGTTAAGGGGTCCTTTTCAAAATTGCCATCAGTGTAATGGGCACTCATCAAGGTTAGGGGCGCAGCTCAAATAACTATCAATGTAAGGGGAAGGCCTTTTCCGCTGACAAGGTGAAAAGGTTGAGAAAGGCTGGCTTACATAATAAAGAATTGGGAACAGCAATAGTAGCATGTGGCCATTAACCAGAAGCAACTAATCAGATTACTTTAATCAGATAACTGAAAGACTAGTTGAATCTGATTGGATGCTGCTGGATATTAAGCTTTCTGCAGTGTTCTTAAGTAGTCTCAGTAGTGTTTTATTGAACTGTAGTCCTGAGGAACCAGTACATATTTTGTCCTATTAGCAATGTTTTTATAAAACTACACCACTGTGAGATCGTTTTATAAAGCATCAGTGAGCCAGAGCTGAGCTTTCAGTTTCAGGTAGATCTTAGTGATCAGGTCAATCACAAGCTTCTTATGCTGCCACTTTGTCCCCTCCCGAGTTCCCGGAATTGGCCCAACCCGCCTTGGGGTCTCATGCCTTATGCACTCACACCTTATGCTGCATCTTTTTCTTATAATGTTGGAAACTTATGTGCGCATGTGTCATTTAAGCTTTTGAAAAATTTAATATGCCTATGGACAATTTAACCGTCCAGCAGCAATTTGAGGTAGTTTAGGTATCAGTTTGGGGTACTCTGACCCTTATTACTGAATTTTTCTTGAATTACATAAGGTAATAACATTGTAGAGCAGGCTAAAGAACTGCAGAAATTGCTTTTAACATTTTTAAATTAATCCGGAATGCATAATGAGTGTAAAGTTTTCCTTTGTAGGTGACCGGTTCCAATTTATGTAGTTACTTTGTGTTACAGTGCAATTACAGTGCACATCTTACTGTGTGCAAGCAATTACAGACTATATAAGATTATAGGGTTATGTTGTTTCTTTAGTGTAAGGGCCAATGCCTGGTACTGTGTATGATTGTTATAAGGGGATGGTATTTACTGGGCACTTAACCTCTCACGTTAAATAAGACATTTTCATCCTCACTTCAGGAACTCAAAGTCCCTTCACCCATCCTCACAGGGTCACTCGCCAGTTGTGAACCCTAAATAGGGGGCTTCCTTTTGTCATGGACAGGGCATTCACATTAGTGACTTATTAGTGTACCTTAGTTAAACTAACCATGGTACAATAAATAGCTATAATAGTGGATATTATTTGTACATGGAACTGTAGTGGGAAGCCATTATTCTTTTAAGAATCCTATTCCTGATATATTTCATCGCGATAAAGGAGAATATATGCTCTTGATTTTAGATAAGCTTCTATATACAGTACTTATAGTACACATAGTATTTCTGTACTGTATATGCAGTTACAATATAGAATAGTTGATTTGTAGTAACATTGCGTGTAATACACATTATGTGTAATTACAACATAGACGATTCTGTGGTCTCTTTGTTAAAGTATGCGGGGGAAGTCTTTGCTCTTGTAGTCACAGTATCCATGGTATTATATGTAATTACAGTACATGAGAGTGGCCTTAGAGAATCATATTCCTACGAATAGGTTTGAATTAGATTGAAGAAAATAGGTCACCAGCACTCCATAAGTTAAAATGAATGAGTCCTTTTAATGGACAATGATGTCACAGAAATCCAACATGAGCCGACGTTTCGGGGCCACACAGGGTCCCTTCTTCAAGGCAAGAGATGTGACCAGAGATGTGACCCCGAAACGTCACCTCATGTTGGATTTCTGTGACATCATTGTCCATTAAAAGGACTCATTCATTAGAATGTATTTTAATATAGTTTATTGTACTCCAGGTACAGACAGGGTTGGTCCATCCAGCAACAAAAGCAATATTTCATTTTAGCAAATACAATGAACAGTGCAGGGCTGCAACCTATAGCATAACACCTTTTGGTCTTATAAGCAAAATTAAACTTTGTTTATATCGGCTAAATACATTCCTGGTGCATCAAAACAAAAGACTTCAATATCTTACAGTTTATTTTCTTTCTAAAGCATCTATAGCCTGAATAGATAAGGCTGTCCTCTGCCAGCCTTCTGCAGAATAGGACCCTTATTCTCTCTGGGGAAGCAGTGATCTCTCTGTAGAGGTCTGACATACCCCCTGCTGAGTCAGAGCTAGATCTCTCTAGCCAGCAGTGAGCATGAGATTTACTGATTGCAGACCTATAGGTCTGACTCAAAAGGGGTATGTTGGACCGCAAACTCAAGAGCACAAATAGCAAGGGTTCCACTCTGCAGCTGCTGGCAGGGGTCAAGCTTTTCTACTCAGGCTGTGGCTGATTTAACACTTCTTTTTGCTAAAATGGCAGTTTACATGAAAGTTACATAAATGTCAGATATCTCGCCTTCTGTTTTAGATGCAGGTTCTTTATTGTAATTTTAAGTGTTGTTACCAGCTCACTCAAAAAAAAGTAACTTTTTGTTTAGGTTTCATTTTAAAAAAGCATACTCCTTTCTCTAGAAAATGTCAGCATTAAGTTTTGGCATTGTGTATGATAAAATGTCTAAACACTTCAAGGCTTCTCAATGCTTAGAGCAACAGTCAGGGTTGATGCTGTCATAACATCTGACTCATGGTGTAGCTTTCCAAGAGCTTCAGAATAATAGTGTGTGATAACTTTGATAAAACACCTTAGCTGCAGTTCCCTAGAGTCATTTAGAAATGCTAGAAATCAGGTGTTAGGAACAAAACTGCTCGTTTTTCTACTTATAAGTGAATTAAAAGCTGATGGTATACAAATAATTAACTTGGAGATCACCTTTCACATTTTTAAGCATGTTAGATATCTGTGAGCACTTTTGGCAATTTTATTAGGTAATTATGATATATTGCACATGACTTTCATATTAACCCATTTCTAACCACCAGGCTAAACCATAGGTCTATTTTTGTTGTTCTTTTTCAGTCCTCGCTCAGTGGCTTAAGGGGGCAAAGTAATTACTTTCCCTTTCAATCAGAAAGAGATGTCTGATAGCAAACACCCTCTGAAGTGTTGTTTGTTTAGAAAACCCATAACTCTCATTGACATCAGTGTCATGGGTGTTCGCTGTATGAAATGTTTATTTGTAAAATAAATATTTTATTTATATGGTAAAGAAACAAAAAAGTTGAAAAACCTAAAAATAAATAAATACATCTGTCTATTAATCCCATTGAAGTTTTACTCAACTTACTCACATTTCCATATTCAGAGCATCATAGGCAGAATTAAGTGGCACGTCTCTACTGCTTGTTCAAAAGTTGTACATGCAGATTTGGAAGCAATGTGAAGCTCTATCTGTCTAAATCCTGTTGAAGAAAACTACTAAATCTAATTATACTGTCTTCTTTTGTCTAAAATTGAGCTAACATAAACATGTAATCTAGATTATCTAAAGTTATGGTCACTTGTACATGCATAGTGTAAGAAAAGCCTTGGGCAGATCATAGAAGGGGTCTACCTTTCTCCAGCATGTCTGTTTAAAGCATTGGGAAAGCCAGTTTGGCTAGGAGAGGGTACTCCAGAGCAGACTGAGTAATCAAGGGTGATTAGGTCATTACTATGACTGTTCATTATAGAAGAAGCTCCAGGCAAACCAGCTCCTGCAGGCCTGAAGTAATCCCATCACAACTCAATACCTGATTAAGGGAGTGTGTTTTGGACCCCCGAAACATGTTGGCTACTCAATGTTCCCTGACCCCAATGCAATAAAGTAGTATCTGGACTATTTTATTTGATGTGGCACTTTAATTCCTACATCTACTGTGTCCAATGTCTAGCCAAGGATACTGTAGAGATCCTTTGGCTTGTGCAAGTTTCCTACCCATTAGCCAGATCATACATGCTCACCATTATTGGATGAGAAATACCAACAGAATAACCACATGGATTCATTTTTTTCCACCTCCAAATATCCTTTATAGAAGAGGCATTTGCCTTTACAAGCATCTTTCAGAACTCTTGCAATCCTTGGGAAAGCGAGAGCATGCTGCTCTGTGGCAAGATACTGTGTGGCAACAAGGGCCATTTCGGTGTTCGAAAGGGATCTTGTTTGTGAGGTTCGGGTTTATTTTATGTTCATTTCTTCTCTGTGGACAAGCTGCTTATGTTTTATCTGACATTGGACACTTAAAGTAGGTTGCAGCCAGTCTGAAACTGCTTTTCTACCTGTGCAATAAAAGCTCCCATTTCATGTCTTGCCCTTCACAAGTTACTGTTATATCAAGTAAATATGGCATCATTTATTGTCTTCTAGATATCACAAGGCTCAACTCTCCAATATGAAGCAGGTAACGTCTCACTGTCTGCGCATTCAGAAGAAAGACCCCTTCCCCCTGGAAATGAGCACCTGTTACAGTGGACCCAGAAGAGCTATGGGGCTGTAACATCCTTCACAGAAGTCAAAATGACCAAAAGAATAGACATCAAAGTGGGAGAAGGTTAGTCAAATATTGGATTGCAGTACAGTACTTGTATTTAAGGTATTTTGTTATGATTACTTTAACATTAATAAGTATTAATCATCATAATAAAAATAATAATTTCTTAATAGCATTTCAGTTCGTAATGATAAATATCGCATAGGTGTTGAATCATTATTTTGTATTTCCATTAGTTTATCCCATGATAATTTACTCATTAAAATGTTCAATTCACAAACATTAATATTGCATAGGTGTGTTATTGTTATAATTGTTATTTTTGCACACAATATGGGGAATTTACCACTGAAAGCTTTTTTTTCTTTTGAAATACTTTTATTTTTATGAAGTTTTATTTTATAATCACTCAAAATGGCTACTATACCCGCTCTCCTCAAAGTGTAAGTTCAGTCAAAACTTTTTTTTTCTAGTTTTGGATAGTATGGGCAAGGAAGAACTCCTGCCTGTAATTTGCTGCATGGATTTTTCAATTTACCCTCACTTCCTGTCCTGCTTGCAATGTTTTACCAGTCAGAAAGTAGAAAACAGGATGCACAAGTTCAGATGAAAGCTGGTTTAAAATGAAATATTCTTCAACCAACTTCACATTGTCCTGGCAATACATATTCCAGTTTTCTTGCAAATGTTAACCACTTTCAACCAGCTTTCAGTGGCAAAAACAATTAAATTGATCTAGGCAACCTATCACAAGCAATTTTAATTGCTTCATGGTTGTAACAGTTGGCGATAAGTTGTCTTGATCTATTCTGTTTTTGAGTTTAAAAGCATGTGAAATCCCCTTAAAATGTTTATAGTGAATTGGTAGGGCCATTTAAAGTAGGGCTTGTAATGATTAAAATTTACGTGTTCGATTAATCAAAATTTTTAAAATTGATTTAAATGATTAATTTCTATTAATTATAACGCTCAATATGGCCGCCGATTGAGTGGGGCAACTCAGAATAATAACGTGCTGGATTAGTGTGATCCTAGTTCATTTTATTACTTCATTGCTGTGCTGTATGTGTATAGGCCAATGCCTTGGCTGGCGCTCGTGCAGAAAGTTTTTTGGGAAAACTCACCGGCCCAAGTGGCTCCGTCGGCTAACGAAGGGGGGGGAGTCCAGTGACGTCACGGACATCTATGTCACCGGACTCCTCCCCTTCCCTTCCTTAGCCGTCACCGGACTCCTCCCCTTCCCTTCCTTAGCCGTCACCGGACTCCTCCCCCCTCCCTTCATTAGCCGTCACGGACATCGACGTCACCAGATCGCCGACCGGACTCCCGGAAGCCGGCGGAGAGGTGAGT